ACAAAAAGTCCCGGTTCATCTTGATAAGGTAAACCGGCCCTTGGGGACTACTCAGTTGAAGTATTCTTGATCTTAAAAGTCCCGTTTTATCTTCAAGAGATAAACCGGCCCTTGGGGGCTACAATGGAGTTGGTATACAGAACAAGACAGTTTAACATGTTTCGAAGATTACCTCATAGCGCTCCTTCATCATGTTCACCAGACCGGCCTCATAATCCCGGCTTGTGTATAGGTGGTTTAGGAATCCGGAATGAAGCTCCTGGGCAGTAAGGTTAACGTAGCTGGACAGATCTGTCTTTCCTTTTCCCTTGCCCATAGCAGCAAACTCTTCCTTGGCAGTATGCTTTGATAAGGCAACCGGGTTGCCAGGGGCGGTGTGACCAGTACCGGTGATAATAACATCATCATCGCCACCTTTTGACGGGCTTGGCGGATTGACAGTATCCCTGGCTGGGCTGGGCGGATCAACATGAGGACTAGCCGGGTTAACTTCCGGCGGATCAACATAAGTATCTTGATCTTGAGGCATAAGATCATCCACAGTAGTGTCAGTATTCCCACCAGCATCTTCTGGATCTTCTCCGGTTCAACATCCTCTGCAGAAGCATCTGTTCTTGCTTTCTTGCTGAGCCGGCCTTTGGCACTGCAAAATAACAAGCAAATGTTAGTATCATATATCAGGCGCAAGAAGGATAAACTAAAAATTCAGTCTACTTACCCAGGGACGGTTTTGAGAGGAGGCATTTGGGTGGTTGATGAATCATCAGATGAAGAATTGGAAGTCACCTGGTAATTCGAATTAGACGGATTAAGCGGATATCGGAAGCAACCCGCCAAAGGATAAGATTTATTGGAAAAACAAGAAACCTCTGGACGACGCTTCCGAGTTGGTGTATCCGGTAAACCGGAAGAAGACCTGTTGGCCGCTATGCCGGGTTGTGCGACGACCTTCATGTTGCTTTGTCTTCAAAGAAAATTGTGGATCCAAATGAGCAAGAGGGTGAGAGTATTTTACTATCCGAACTACACGGCGAAGTTTTTGAACCGGCACATGTTCTGAATCGGAGGAAAGGGAGATTACCTCTATATGATCAGCACGACTGGCTTCCGCATCATCCTGGAAATAATCATTGTCAATAAGGTGTATGAAAAATGAACCAAGGGAGTCAAGTTCTACCTCTTGTTCTGACTCATCAACGTCTTTTGGCGGATCAGAGGACTCGGCGGTTTTCTTCTTGGCAGGCCTCTTTGTGACCTTGCTCTTGGCACGAAGAGCCCTCGCCGGTTTATCTTGAGCCTTGGCCGGTTTGTCTTGCGTTTTTCTCTTCCAGAATGGGTCTCTGGCCTGTACAGATAAACAAAAGGTTGTTAGGAAAAAGCTAAAGAGTAGACGAATTACAAAAACAGAAGGATAAATTCTTACGCCTGGCGGTTTGTTGGAGGGGTAAAAGGTTTTACTGCATTCAGCGATGGGTTCGTCCAGCATCTTCTTGACAGACTCAGTGACTTCATCATCAGTTATCTCTATTTCATTGTACCGTTGAGGGTCCTTGATGTCCCCGGTATACTCATGCATCAACCTCGTGCGGCGTCTTAAAGGCAGGATACCCCATGAAACCCAGCAACGAACGAGGTCAATGCCGGTTAAGCCATTTGCTAGGAAAGCCCGGAGCTTGGCAAGTTGAGGTGCATAAGTCTGTCGTTCTTTAGCAGTGAGCCGTTGAGGCAGTGGATGGCCATTACTAAGCCGGTGAGCACGGTAACCCGGCAGTGGGTTTTCATCAGCAGGTGCGGTGTTTTGACAATAGAACCATGTTTGATTCCAGTCTTTAGGGTGGCTGTGATGTTTGGCATGTGGGAAATTGACTTCCTTCCTCTTCTGAATCGACACTCCGCCAAGTTCAGTATTGGGGCCGTCAGAGAATTCAGTTCGGCGGTTTAAGTGGAAGAAGTCTCGGAAGAGCTCAACAGTTGGTTCTTCTTGAAGGTAAACTTCGCAGAACACTTGAAAATTGCATATGTTGGACACAGAGTTTGGTCCAATGTCTCAAGGATGGAGTTGGAAGCTAGCAAGTACATCCCGGAAAAACTTTGATCCGGGAGGGCTAAACCCCCGGTCTAGATGCTGCATAAATACAACCACTTCTCAATCTTGAGGTACAGGAGGGCATTCAGGGCCAGGGACTCGCCAATGAAGGACGTCCTTCTTGGCCAAAGCGCCGGTGAGAACATATCCATTGAGTTGCGTTTCTGTGATCCGGGAAGGAACCCAGTTGCAAGAGGCGAATTGTTTGGCCATTTCAGAAGACAAACTGTAAAAGAGGTGCAAAAGCCAGTTTACAGTTCAAGATTGATGTGCATAAACTGGTGTAAAACCGGGGGATTTAATTAAAGCATATATTCAAGTTAAACCGGATACTTCTACTCAAGTCAAGATGGTGGTTTAAGTAAGGGCTAATGGTACCAGGCAGATTATGATTTTCTACAAAGTTAAACCGCCTATATTGGAAGCAGCAGAGCTGAAATTCGTTAAGTGCTGAAGAAACAGGTTTCACAAGATGATGCTATAATTTTAGATCTACCGTGGCCTAGTAAAGGAAATTTTCTGAACCCTAGAAATGGCGACAGCAGAGTAAAGAGGATCCAGATGGATTTGTTCGTGGTTCTAAAGATACTACGGTGAGGCAAAATAAGATTGTAGCTTTGGCCGCAGGAGGGAAAAGCCAGATTGGTCTGGATTCAACAAGGCAGTAAAGAAAATAAGGGTGAAGTAATAAAGCTTGGACGAGCACCGATGAACACAGCCAAGTACTGAAACCCTAGTGCAGATCTAGGGTTGAGAGAAAAGGGCTTACTGAATTCCCAGGAGCGGCGGAGGAGAGCCGTGAATCTCTGGTGCGTTTCAGGTTGATGCAGCGGCCGGGGATGAGGCAGAGCTTCAAGGGAGACGGCGGTGGTGGAGCTGTCGGGCTTAAGCAATGAGAGGAAGAAGAAGAAGAAGCGCGGAAGGGGAAAAGTAAAAGACCCAGGAGCCTATTTATAAGGCAAATGGATAAAGAAGGCGAGTGCGAGAATCGAGGAGCCAAAGCGGTAAAATCGAGGAGCCAAAGCGGTAAAGCCTAGTGCCCGTCAATGCCACAAAGTTGACACACACGCTTACCACCAGCCCCCGGTAAGGTTACGATCGGAGGGGGGGCGAGGCGAGTGGCGGTGGCGGCCCCGAAGAAGACTTGGACGACGAGGGGTGGCGGCCACCCTTGGTGGCGGCATTGGCCGAGAGGGACCCGTGGCTGCTCTTGGAGCGGCGCGACTCGACCCGCTGCTCAGTAAGGAGAAGGCCAGAGAAAACCTCATGCGCCATCATGGGGTTCGAGTTGCCCCACTCATTGATGATCTCAACCAAGGCATCATACTCCTCGTCAAGGCCATTGACAATGAAGGAATTGAACTCGGAGTCGGTGAGGGGCTGTCCGATGGAGGCCAACGTGTCGGCAAGATCCTTGACCTTGTTGTAGAACTCGGTGGCCGTGGAGTCAAACTTCTCACACTCGCCAAGTTGACGACGGAGCGAAGAGACATGGGCCTGCGACTGCGCCGCAAGCGAGCGCTCGAGGATGTTCCATGCCTCATGCGACGTCTTGGCGAAGACAACGAGTCCGGCAACTGCCCTGTCCAAACACGATGCGCTAGATTGTACACCAGGCCGTGCACGCTATCTACCAGCGCAGGAGGGCAGGGGAGGGAGCCATCGACGTAGCCAAGCAGATAGTGACTCCCAAGAAGCGGAAGGACCTGCGCACGCCAGAAGATGTAGTTGTCTGATGACAACTTGATGGTAATGATGTTCCCGAAGTGGAATGGTGGCGGCGGGAGCGAACCCGCGGAGTGGGCTGCCTGAGGCGGATACGACGTGGAGGCAGGACACACCGTCGTGGAAGCGGCGAGGGGCGCAGACGCCGCAGGGGCGGATAGCACCGGCGCCGAGCCCGAGGCAGGGAGCCCGGCCATCCAGGCCGACGCGGGCGCGACCCCCGGAGGAGGCGGGATGACGGTGGAGAGTGATGCGGGCGATGAGGCGGCGGCGGCAGTGTGGACCGTCAACGCGTTCCCGGGCGAAGAAGCGGCCAAGTTGGCGAAGATGGAGCCAACGCTCCTCGTTCCGATCGGTTGTTGGACGGCGGCAGCATCGAGCGCCCGCGAGAGGAGAGCCGCGAGAGAGGCTGGTAGAAACCCGGCGGTGGTGGAGCCGGAGGCGACGGTGCTCGTCGTGGCAGCGGAGGAGCGATCGGAGGTGGGGGCGGCGGCGGCGGCGGTGTCGGGAGTTTAGGGCGGAAGCGAGTTTAACCTAGGCTGATACCATGTAAGACAATAGGTTTGGGGGAACTGGCACAACCCTCTAAGGGTGGCCTATCACATATACAATATATAATAAAGGGGTAAACGTTACATCATACATACACACATACGGGAACTATACAGTCTAACAGGCACCTACTCCTCTGTTTCGACGTCGTGCTCTCTCGTACCCTGGAAGGGAGTGAAGGAGGCACTCATTCTGCTAACCTCGTTTTGTTTTGTTTCAGACGTCAAGAGTGCCTCTTCTCTTCTCTTCTCTTGTGACTAGGGAAGTCCTTTTTTTTTTTTGATACCTAAACGCTTATTATGTGATCACAAAAGAACGTTCCGCAATCGTGTGGGTTGTGGTGATGAGGTGCTCACTCATGTTTGGTTCTTTTCCTGGAGGGAGTTTGGTTGTGGCCCAGCCCAACTACTAGCCGCCGCCCCGCCGTATAAATACGTACGCTGGAGCCGGTCGCCTCCCCTCAAAACGGACCTAGCATCCTCGCCCTCGCCTCCTCCCTCGTCTCCTAGCCGCCGTCCTTCTCTGCCCTGCCGCCAGAAGGTGCTCCTCCTCTCTTAGCACCTCTTCCTTCTCTCTTAGCACCTAGGGTTGGTATGAAATAAAGTTTAGGGTTTCTTTTACATGAGGATATCCCACCATGGCCCAAGTCGTCAGAGTAGTTTCCAGTCTTGCTGATGTTGACGGCGCGCTTCAAGATCTGGACATCAATAACACGTATGAAGCTGATCAGGTTCGATTTCAATTGGATGAGCGAGCCCCCCTTCAAGATGCAGCAGCTATCAGTCTGAGGACCCATCCAGGAAGGCATGGATTCATATTGGTTAATCCAGAGTTGTTGAAGTGCAAGTCTAAGACCAAGGGGACATTAGAGGAGTCCTTCAACAACATGCTTGACGCATCCCTGGAGCGGATGAATCAAGAGATGGAGGGAGTTGAAGCAAGCATAGCATTCCTGAAGGTCCTTGTGCTCTACGATGACAAACAGATGGCTCAGATGGCACCTAATGGACCTCCACTTCTCGAAAGAAATCGGGGAGTACAACATGCCATCTATCCACACCCTCCTGTACGTTGTTCTCTTTCTTTTGGGATAATAAACATCAGTTTAAACCAGTTTTGAGTAGTAGATCTTATGAAATTCGCTTGCCTCCTGTTGGATATATCTCTGTTACTATAACATGTTTAGAAAGAATTATGCAAGTGATTGTTTTGTCTCTGGTTTGCTTATTTCCATCCATGTTATAAGCCAGCCATGGTTTTCATGTCACATCGTTTGAATGAGTTTACTAGTACTTATATTGGGTGCATTTCATTGAGATAACAACTTATAACCAGATGCCTGTATTAAGAGTAGCATTTATTATTTGTCAAGTGGTGTGATATGTTTGCTAGTACTGTGCTATTTTTTGTATAGAAAACTCTTGTAGTATGTTTGCTTAGTATTGCGTTTTTCTCATTATCAGTTCCCAGAAGATCCTAGCTTTGAGCATGCCACACCCCAACAGAGAGTCCCATATCAACATGCTTATGGTACACAACAAGAGAGGGATGAGGCAGCTGCTCGTGACAGGCGTGCCCAGAGGGCCCTCTGGCATGCCAAACTCCGGATTTTGGAGGCAAGGCAGTCCATCTTGAAGGACAAGAGGTCTGAGATGATGTCAAAGATGAGGGTGGAGTTCAAGAGGATTATGGAGGAACCATCTGACTTAGGGGTTGGTTACGCGGACTATGAATTTCCTCCATTGGCGTAGTAGGTAAGTCACCTTTCTTTGGTACAAGTTTTAGACATGTTTATAGATAAAAAAATCTACTCCAGACGCTGATTGCTTGTGTTTGAACACTCCTTGCCAAGTTCCACGAGTTATTGCTTGTGTTTAGTTTTGTAAGCTAATTTGTTGTACAATATACACATCCATGCTGCCTACCTTGTACTGATGATATATCTTTTGTAGGAGCTTACCCTTTGAAGCAACATGGCTTGCCATTTGACCTTTTGCTGGAGCTGTGCTACCCCAAGATTTGTCGAACAACTCCTTGTCAACAATGCCAGCTTAATTACCTATTTATGTACTCCTTTTGGTTGTAGTGCTTAAACTGGTACTCTCTAGTATTACAAACCGAGCATGTTATGGACTATAGTGCTGCACTGCCGAGTAGGCTGGCCTGTAGGTTGCAGTGTAGACTTTAAATTCCTGGTTGTATGATGTACTGTATGCGACCTTGTGAATTGTGATGTTGGTGACTTGATAACCGACAATGTTGGATTTAACTGTTAGGTTATTTGATTGATCATGTGATCATCTCACTTTTTGATCTCTTTGTTTTGGCATATATGTTCAACTTTGCATCCTTGTTATTTTTGTGACATCTTCAATTTGAGATGTGCTTTTTTATTCTGTTTTAATGCATAAACATGCTTTAGGTTATTTGATCATGTGATCATCTCCCTTTTTGGTCTCTTTGTTATCTTGTTTTGGCATATAATGTTTGTGTAAAATGTATGCGCAGATTCTGATTTGAGTTCATTTGGGAGCATTGTATGCAAACTTTGCATCCTTGTTATTTTTGTGATATCTTCAATTTGAGATCTGCTTTTTTATTCTGTTTTTAATGCGTGGACATACTTTAGTTGTTAATGATCCCATATATATATATATATATATATATATATATATATATATATATAGGGTTGCTAAAGTGAGCCTGAGCGCATTTTCTTTATTCTACGCTCCGACCCATCTTTCAACCGACGTGCTAGTTAGTTAATCCATCCAGGCCAAGACGTCCCAGGAATCAACCGTAATGAGCATCTATCAACGTAACCAAAGCGGATGTGTTTTACAAGGGATTGACCCATAGTACGATAGTAAATCGTACTGGTAGTAAAACTGGTTTGTCCCATTACTTTTGTGTGTGACGAATTGGTGCGTGACACTTTTTGATGATAGCCAATAACAAGATTACTATACTCAATACACGTGTTACTATGAATTATTTTGTGTGTGTCAGCATGGTAACTGGATTACCATACCGATTCAATGCAGGACTAGTATGATACAAGGCAGTAACAAGATTACTATTTTCAACAGGCAACTTTACTAAACGATTAAGGGTTGGAGAAATGGTTCGTTGGAGTCCGTAATAGGATTACTACCAGTATTACTTATTTTACGATCACACATGGACAAGGCGGAGGAGTGGTTTGGCCCAACCAATAACCGTTTAATTTCCTTACTATGTCTGATAGGTTTTTTACTGAGATTAGTGGAGCGGCGCGCACGCAGCAGCCGGAGCGCAGGATTAGAGTATTTGCGCTCACGCTCACTTTAGCGCTACCGTATATATATATATATATATATATATATATATATATATATATATATATATATATATATATATATATATATATATATACTTACCATGAGAGTCCTTGTTGAGTGTTGAATTAAACCTTTCTATCTAAAAGATAAAAATTATCCCAAAAAATAATATCCATCATACTATTTTACGTCACCTAAACTTGCTTTGCTATTCTGGCTTGTCTTAGAAAATGCAGTCCATGTGTGGAGGAGACCTGCGGAAGTGGGTTGGATGTTCTCTCTAAAGTGTTTGGGCAACACAGGAGGTAGCTAACTTGATATGTACATATGGTTTATTTCATTTTATTTGAATGGATGCATAATAAATATTTGTTATGTTTAACTAGGTTCCCGCTGAAGCGGAGGAATGGGGACAGCACTAAAACTGTTGAGATCACTGTCTATGATTACTTTGTGAAGAACAGAGGAGTAGAACAGCACTATTCTGGCAATCTTCCCTGTATCAATGCTGGGAGGCCAAAGCGTCCGACATATTTCCCCGTGGAGGTTCGTTTCAGAGACTTGCTATTTTACACCCCTTGTGAAATTTCTTCTCAGGTCCTGATGTGAACTTTTTTGTGCGACCAGCTTTGCACGCTCGTTCCTCTGCAAAGATACACCAAGGCTCTGTCAACTATGCAGAGGACAGAAGCCTCACGAAAGAATGTCAACACTTAATGATGTGAGTAGTCATCTACTCCAGATTTTTAGCTGTATTTATTTATTTATGGGCTACTGTGTCTGTATGCCAAGGCTTGTCGCTTTTGTCTTTCCACCCCAGCTGGGTGGACTCAACACACCGCTTCAAATTGAAGCAGCCCATCGTGGGGAAGGTGCCTACTATCATCCTGGGGCCTGGGCATGGATGTCTCGCATGGCCTTCCATTGCTGCGGTAAGAAGCGGGATACGTATTTTTTACTCTCTGGTCTGATGAGTTGTCGTGTGGCCTCTCATCTCTAAATACAGAGCAACAATGCACACTCAGTCACCCAAGCAGGAGGTGATGGCTTCCCTGTTTAAGCCACGGGGAGCTGAAGATGATGGCCTTATTCGGTAAGTCGATCTTGAGTCCAGTTCATTGTCCAAACTGTTTCTAGTATGTATGTTGTGCTTCGTTGCACGCTCCTTTCCTAATGGAATGGAATGGATTTCCAGGGAATCTCTTATTGACTTGTACACTAGCTCTGGGAAGCGAAAGCCAGACCAAGTTATTATTTTCAGGTACCAAGTTGTGAAACTACTAGGAGTATTTGCTAATATATAGCAGTAAATTTTTCTAGTTCCTCAAATGTTTCTCTGCTGAAAATGGATATAGCTCATGCTGCTTTCAGGGATGGAGTTAGCGAAAGCCAGTTTACTCAGGTGATAAACATGGAGCTTGAGCACATCATTGAGGTAGTGTATTTATTTGATCCCAACTTGTGCTTTACAATACTTGTAACCTAGGTACAAGTAATAATCATATTTGATCTACTTTTAACCAACCAAGCAACCAACCAATGCAGGCATGCAAGTGCCTTGACGACAAGTTCACAGTCATTGTTGCTCAGAAAAAAAACCCATCACACCAGACAAACTCGCCAGAAAATGTTCCTCCTGGTAAACAAACGTCTTTCCCAAGTCCACTACTTTTTATACGTGGGTTTGCATGCTGTTCTCTTGTGTGAAACGAAACGATAGATCATAACAGCAAGTGTCCATGTCATATTCTCTAGGCACTGTGGTGGATAAACAAGTTAGTCTGCCATGCCAAGAACTTTGACTTGTACTACATGTGCGCGCATGCTGGGATGATTGTAAGTAGTAGACTGCTTTCTGCTCTGTTTTTGCTTAGTAGCACAATGTAGCAGTAGGTAGTAGGGTGCATTCAGGTGGGTTTTTTTTTTGTGTGGCAGGGCACGTCGAGGCCAACACATTACCATGTTCTGCATGATGAGATTGGCTTATGTTGTTACTACTAGTCTAGGCTTGGGTCATTCGTGTGACAAATTGTGTCTGAACCTGTCGGCATGGCCTTTTCTTTCTTTCTTTCTTTCAGGTACCAGAGGAGCACGACAGCGATATCAGTAGGTATGTTTGTTTGAAGACTCGCTCGATCCATGCTCGCTGTTTTTTTGTGTTTGCGAATGCATGTGTGCGGTTGGTTGCTTATGTCGTGTGTGTTTTGTTTTGGCAGCTGCTCCGATAGCGTACGCGCATCTGGCGGCGGCGTCATGAAGTTTGAGGACATGTCGGACACGTCGTCGAGCCAGGGAGGGGGCCACACGTCGGTCCGGT